AATTCCAACTAATGATGCCAATGCCATCACCCTTCCGAAGTTAGAAGATTTCTGGAAAAAAAAAATGATAATAATTATTAAAATGAAAAAAAAAACTCTGCAAATACAAGCTCATTTTAAATATTGAATGACCTTCCAAATTGAATCCTGATTTCCTAAATTACAGGTAACGGAAGGGAAAAGAAAATTTTCCAATAAGTGAATAAAGATATATAGACAATGATGCAATGAACAATAAAGTCATAGCAGCAACAGAATTGGAGAAATATTGAATTTGGTTTATTAGCCAATTCTAATTCTAGATAGGTCTAAAGAATTCTAGCTATTAGATATAGCATCGGAGTGAAATCTAACATGTAAACACAAAAAGAGACTTGTAACTGACCTGACTAAAATGCAGATGGTAGTTTTGCAGTTTAATGTCACACCAAGTACCTACTGAGAGAGAAATGCCCTGTACCAGATTTAACTTCCTTTCACCACCCTTGAATTCCCTTAAACACACTAAGCTGTTCATATACTGCTCTTCCTTCTCATCAACCTCCAAAGGCGATAGAGCGCACTGTAACTCACGAATGGCATGTTCTAATAGCATGCCTTCCTCTGTGCTAACAAACTTCAACAGAAAAACAGACATTAGATAACTGTCAAAGGTTCATAACAAACCATATAAAAACTGCAACAGCACCAGTAAAATTAGATAATGATGCAATGCACATGTAAAACGCTGAGTTGTGAAATTGTTTGGCTGTAGCACACTTAAAATGGAAACATAAAATAAAATGTTCTTCTCCATCAAAATGTACTTTATGAAGAATTTGAATTATGTTTCACATGACATAGCTCCTAAGCTAACATCTGAACTTTATCTGGTACCTAGAAGCCAAAGGTTGGAAAACATGTATTTGATATTTCATCTTGTCCCAAAGAAAAAGAATGATCAGTAATCCTTTTTATTGTATCATGATTAAAGAATTGAACCTGAGAAACAAAAATATACCTGTTGAAAAAGGACCCACCCATATAATGCATTATGCATTTTCTTAGTGATGCCCAAAGTGGACCATGTGAGTTTGATAAGTGAGAAGATAGCATCAGCTTCCTGATAAAAGATTTTGAGAGTACGAAGCTAAGTAATCATATAAATTAAAGACAACCAGATACAGAGAAACTGTTTAGGCATCTACCTCAATGAGTTGGCCTTCATCAAGAATATCAAACAAGCCATAAAGCAATTTTTCATAAAGTCTAATGTTCAAGTGATAAGCAGCAGTCCAATACTGTGTTTCACGTGGGATACCAAATTGTCCAGGAAGAGATGACAGCTTTGAAGCTACCTGCCTAATAGATGACAGAACCTCTATGCGTTGAGAAGGAGACATATTGTCATCCCATTCCTACAATATCCAATAAACCAAGTAAGAACATAAAAAACTCAAAACAAGCAGGTACTGGATGATCAGAATAATTGTGAATAATTATCAAAAAAAAAAAAAAAACTCAAAAAGTACGTACCTTTGTATCCTTGATCTTTGCAAGACAACTTCTAGTGGTTCGACGATCAATTGTCATAAGTTGAGCAGAGAAACATAGAAATTCTTCTAATATATTTGCCTGAAGAATAGTAACACAATATGATAAGTCCCATCCATTTGTAATCTATATTCTTCACTTGTATATTAGACAACCAATCCTTGCTCTTTGCAAGACAACTTCTAGTGGTTCGACGATCAATTGTCATAAGTTGAGCAGAGAAACATAGAAATTCTTCTAATATATTTGCCTGAAGAATGGTAATACAATATGATAAGTCCCATCCATTTGTAATCTATATTCTTCACTTGTATCTTAGACAACCAACCAAGGGAAGCCTTAGACACAACAGATCAATCATATGATATACATTAAGAATGCTACTAGGGCGAAGAGTTACTAGGGAGAGTACCTAAATTCAAATCCCTCACCACTATGCCTCCTAGATTTACCAAAAAAAAAAATAGAGTGACAATTTAATTTACATTTTGAAACCCTCTGTTGGACAAATAACAACAAACATTGAAAAAAACGTTCAATAGTTAATGATTACCTGTCTACGCTTCCATTGTACATAATATTTTTCATTAAGAAAATCGGACTTGAAAATGCCAATCAATAGTTCCAATGAGATTTGAGGAAGATCAATTTGTCCACAAGTTCTCCTTGCAGCAAGCTGAACCATATTTCGCCTAATGCACTGATCCAATGCTTCTGAAATCTAGTAAACAAATCATACTACTTCTGAGTTCTGACATCAAAGCAATGATTAACCAAGTATTACAAGCAAGACAAAAGTTAATGATGAAAGCCATGCAACTCAATACTCATTTCATTAATTCATCTTGAATGAAATGCTGACTCAAAAAAGTATAGTGTCATGAGAAACCATTTACAGATGCTATAGCTACCAGTTGATATAAAAAATAACACAAGATTTCCCTGTATCCATGAAGCATGATACATTTATCAATGCAAGATGACTAAGTCTCCTTTCAGTGCAAAAAGAAAGATTTATAGCTTGCCTGCATCTGAACACGGATAGTATCAGTAAGTTCTGAATGTCTCTCTGATGATGGAGATTGTAGATGTGTTTTGTCCCTTTTACTTCTTAACCCAGACAAAATTTTAGAACTCTTTTCTTTTTTTCTGTCTTCAACAGAATACACTTCAACCCTGATCAGATTGGCATAAGTGAGAAAATAAAAACGCAGCATGTACAAAATAAGTCAAGAGTGAGAGGTATTCAGACATGTATCTTTGGAAAAAGTAACGTTTACCAAAAAAGCATGGACCTCAGCATGTACAAGGCCACACAAAACCCACATGCTAGAGAGAGAAAGAGAGAGAGAGAGAGAGAGAGAGAGAGAGAGAGAGAGTACCCAGAATATGACATTGATGCAAGTAATAACTCATAGGCTGATTCTCGCAAGTCATCATCTGACAATCCTTCAAAATTCCTGAAGCTATGTATCAGTTTACTCAAAAATTATGGAAAAGGTCAGGGATCAAGGTGCAAAGTATATTGTCCATCTAAAATTGGAGAAATAAGTGAAAAAACAGATTATAATGAGTTACTTAAACAAAATTTGCATCACAAGAAGTCTCTATTGAATCACATTGTTTGGCTCATAACAAAAAGGTATCTTAACCAACCAATACCTGTTCTAAGGCTAGGCAGTCTAAGCAAAGGAATTCCCGCATTTTCTACTGGCTTCAAAGGAACTCCTCTGGATGCTTTATGTGTAAAAGCAAAGTTATCTTCAGATATTTTATTCTTAGCATTGAGAGGATCCTTCTGACTAGATGAAGATGAAGCATGATTAGCTGTTTGGCTCACATGAATTGGAGGAGGCACACGCCGAGGAGGAGATCCAGCAGAACCAGGATCAGAAGTAAGATAATAGGAATCCCTAAACTTGGACTGAACCTATGGAAGAACAGTCGAAATCAATCAAGGTTTAAGGTGAACCAAACAAATTACATACAGAAACTTAACAAGAAATTCCAAGCAGGATAAATAGAACATTGTTCTAAACCTCCCATACTCCAACTAAGTCAAACAACTAATTCCAACTAGCAATACAACAAGAGTATGGCTGAGAAACAACTCACAGGAGAAACACAGACGAAGACAACAAAAGAATTTTGCTAAAACTACTACAGCCATTCCTTACCATTATTGGATAAGCAGATTCCGCATAATGGCTCTTAGTCGCTTCATGCACATCCACAATTCCACCTGAAAACAATTATCAAATCCGAACTGTACTTTACTGACTGAGAAAGTTAATTCAAGCAACGACTAAGACGAATTAGCCACAAAACAAGTTGGTGTGTTCCATAAAAAATTATTTATGTACTCTAACAGTGACAAAACAAACAAAGAAAAGAGAGAAGAAGAAATTCTCACAGCAACTCTTCAACATAAATAAACACATAAATGAAAATCACGACTGCAACGAATTGCGAAAGGAATTGATGCTGAGAAGTTTAAATAGAAGTATCCAGCTAAATTACATCTTTTCCTTGTTCGTCTTCCTTTGTTCTTTGAGAACCAAACATGATTAAAAAAAAAAAAATGGCAGAGTCCAGCTGAATCAATTTTCAGTCGGTTTCCTCAAGAACAAAAAGAAGGAAACAACCGGAATGAGATCGTGTTTACCAGATTTTAAGCATTGGAGGATGTAATCGGCACTGATCGAGTCGACGTCGAGGTCGGAAACAGAAGCGGTGGGGCCAGACGACGTACGAATTTCTTTGACTAAACCTGAGGATAACAGGAACTCCAAGAGCTTGGTGCGATCACGACGGTAACGTTGCAGGAGAGAATCCAGCTCCATCTATATCGTTCCACCAAGAAAACTTGGGAAGGAGATACAGAGACTGGAGGAGAAGGAAAGGGCTGCGAAATTGTTTGAAATTTTGAGTTTTAACAGCGGCGGACACTCAATACTGTAGGTTTTTGTTTTTTTTTTATTATTCTTGTTTTATTACCGTGCCACTAGGAGAAGTCCATTCCGGGAAGCGCGAAAAGCCGTGGACCAAACGACAACAATAAAATTACTTTTTCTTTACTTTCTTCAGCTTTATCTTTTTGGTCCCCAGTTTTCTGCTTAATTATCATTCGCTCGCTGAATGTTTTGTGATTTACTATTATACATAAATGTGTTTTAGAGGAGGAATCACACATTTTTTTGCCATTTATATATTAAAATTATTAAAATAATTTTGATAAAATTACTTTTTAAATTTATTCATTATAATAATTTAATAATTTTAATACCAGACTACACAAATAAAATACAATTTGTACTCAAAAAACACCTTTCTTTTTACAATAACTAGTAAATTTTAAACAAAAAATACAATTATCGTACTAAAAAAAAAGAGAGAGAAAGAATGAAAAGAAACATGCGTAACTTAAAACATTCATGAAAATGCATTTATTAGGGTCGTAAACTTAAAGCATAAAAAAACCTCACTTCAATAAGGATCCACATAACACGCTTAATTCCCGGTTAAGTAGAAGGCTTCGACTTCTCTCTCGTTCCTTTTTTCCTAAGAACAGATGATGAAGTAAAAAGGGGGGGAAAGATACAACCCTGTTTAGTGCTGATATGCCCTGGGCAAAACCAATTTACATAAGGAACGGGATTGAAGGCCAGAGCTAACACAAGCACAACAGCATTGTCACCGCTACACCACAGGTAAAAAAAAAAAAGAAGAAGAATACCCTGAGTCGATTCTATGACATCTTGTGCATTTTAGCGACTGCAGTGCTGGGGTCATGCCAATGAACAATTGAAATCTCTTAAACTTCTTCATGGCTACTAATCTTTAAGATGTCATACTTGCAAAGAGGGCAGGTAGCATTGATGTACAGCCATTTATCTACACAGGCACAGTGAAAGTGATGACCACAAGGAAGTTCTCTTAACTCGACTCCATCATCATATGCAGAAAGGCAGATGCAACATTCCTACAGATTACCACAAACCTCAAGTCAGCAAGTTAGCTACTAAAACTCCATCCCACTCATATCATGGTATGATAAATGGCAAAAAGAGATGGCAGGACGATATTACAAGATATTCCAAAGATTATGATTGCAGAAGAAACTAGAAACAAAAAAACCAACTTACTGCATCTTCCTGTGAAAGTACATGTTCAATGGGGGAATCTGTACCGCATTCAGTCATTATACCCCCAAGAGGTCCCTGAACATTGCCAGTGATTTTCTCATCATCACTAGTCTTTCGAAATTTAAATTTTGATAGCTGATCAATATCCTCCTTGGATGCTCCTTCCTGCTTTCACAGGCCATAAACAATATATATGTAAGAGAAAGCTACATAATCAGTAAAATTACATAACAATCTAGGAGCTCTCCATTACTAGTCCAAAATTGAACATTCTAACAATACACCATTATAACATCTAGAATATTAAAAAAAAAATGAAAGACTTGACAATTTTGGAAAAGTCTCCTTTAGTCCACAATGTCAGTTAGCAGACAGCATCAGTGTCTGGTTTCAGTTTTTAGATCAACAATAATTAGGTCTTACCCTAGGACCTTATGCACACTAAGTCACAAATTACTTGCATGCAATCAAGATGAGAACAAAAATTTCACAATAGTGCACACCCATACACATATTAAATACAGCAGCTACCTGATCTGCCACAGCATACAGTATGGCAATAATACATGGAAGACAGCAGCAAACAGCAATGCCAATAATGCATGCCAATGCAACACAGAAAACAACAAAGAAGACATCAAACCCAAGAAATATTATACACAGCCTGCAAAAAAATTCAAACTGTGATAGTTAGGA